CGCCCATCTGCACTATTGAACTAAAACGCATTTAAATTACAGTCTGACGCGCGCGCACATACGAAAGAAGGACTACATAATTAGCACGTTGTATGCAGAGACTTCAAATTGCTGAACAACAAAAAAAAAAGTGCATAAAACCGAAAGAAACCGATGCCACTATTTCATCTTATTAAGCACTGAAATCAGGGCTGCCAAAATAGAATGTGAAGCGCATGCCGGGGGTCACAATTATAATTTCGGAAGTGTATTTACATTTCTCGTGGTGAAACCAGAGGAGCAACTGTGGTTCGGATGGGCTCGGTTAGCGGGAACGGGAATGCACATACTGTACACCTCCTGCAAAGCAGCTGCTCAGAATACAGAAAAGGAGATGAATCCTGGTAAACGACAAGGAGGACCGAAAAGCAGACAAATATTGTGAGGGTGGGAAGTGGAAGTAATTGGCTTATGATTGTGTCCAATATTAAAAGGGGTACCGAAACTTCGAGTTCTAATATTAGTTCATTCATATTATACTTTGGATCGAATGAAACACCTGTCATGAACATCGGTGGTCAGGTGACGGTAAGCACTATGCCATGAAGCCGTATGGGTGTGCGAAGGTACAGCTCCATCTTTCTTGGACTCTGTATTAGATGGAGGTGAGTGATCAGCTTCACCCCCTCCCACCGGTTTACCCCCGGGGATAGAGCCCCTGGTATTAACCGGGTGGGCCCCAGAATCGGTCTGGACGCTGTGGAGAAGAGAAAAATCGTGCACTGCCGAGAATGCAACCCAGGCTGTCCAGCTCATAGCCCGTTGCTATACCAACTCCTAATTCGACGGTTCAAGGACAAAGTTTTTCCTACTCAAATCAGACAATAGCGGTACTTCCCTGCAGACAAAACTTAAAGAAATTTTCACGCAATATCAAGGCGTTTTTCGGCTCTGAACATTTATCAACAATCCATTATTTGTGCAATTGTTACCGTCACTGAAAGCTTGTACCTCGAATATTGAGAAGTATATTTACCCTGAGAAAGATGTCTAGAGCAAAACGTAATATGTTTTATTTCTGATTCCCCCCCAATGTTTTATTCTTTCCAGCCCCTTCAGGGCCCTGGCCTCTTATTCAGTTCCGCAATCATTTTTTTTTCACAGAGGGTAAAACACCTTGAACAAGTGATCAACTCGCCGCAAAGCCTCTACCTAAACACAGGACAACACAAACAGAATAAACGCATACACACACCAAACATCTATGTCTTAAGTGAGACTGGAACCCACGATCCCAGCGTCATGCCTTAGACCGCACGGCTATTGTGACCGGCTGTTTTATCTCTGATACCGCAATTATCATTACATAATATCGGATTTGAAAAGACATCCCGCCCGTTTCTATCACCCCCAAAGAGATACAAGCTAAGAGTGCTGAAGAACTGGCTACAAATGTATCACGGTGGTACTGGAGCAATGAGGACCGCTAGCACCACTTCTCAAAGGGATGTAATGATTTAATGTTCTGCGTACCTTCAGCACGAAACTCTGTCAATTTTCGCCGTCCAGCGCTCAGGTTTGCACGCGCCGAATAATTCATAATGCCAATTTTAAAAGGACGCGATGATCAATTAGCCTCTGTTTTGCTATCCGCCGCAAGGCTCTCTGCAGCGTTTTGTCCAATAAGGAAGCTGCTGCCATTTAAAAAAAAATATTCTAAAAAGGGAGGGGCACAGTTTGAAGCGAGGCGTTGCAGTGTGGCAGTGAGAGATGGCAGAGACACGATCACCCCGCGGTTCAAGGACCTCTCGCAGATTCCGCACCAGGTGCGTGCAACCTGCTGTTGGCTCCCAACCGGTTCATAAATCTTTCTCCTTTCGGCTCTCATCCTAAATTCTATTCCGAATTCGACTTCATCTTTCTCAAACTTACTTTGTGATGTTAAACTTAAACTTAAAATGGTCCCTTTGCGTAACTAATTGAGCACTACGCCATGAAGGCGTATGGAGGAGGGTATATATAGATCCACATTTTCTGGACTAGTTGGAGGTGAGTGGTCAGCTTCACGCCCCTGCCGCTTTATCACGGGGAAAGAGTCCCTGGTATCCATTGGAGAGGGGGTTGGGTGGTCCCAAAGTCGGTCTGGACGACGTAAAGAAAACAAAAATTCTTTATTCTATAGGGACTCGAACTCCGACCCCTCGGTCGTCCAGTCCGTAGCCAGTCGCTATACCGACTGCGCTATCCCGGCTCCTATTGAAACAGGTAGTAAATTTGTCCCTGTGCTTAACTAATTAAGCACTATGCCATGAAGGCGTATGGGGGAGTGGATATATAGATCCACATTTTCTTGACCTCGGCATTAGTTGGAGGTGAATGGTCAGTTTCACGCCCCTGCCGCTTTACCCCCAGGGAGAGAGCCCCCGGTACCCATTGGATAGGGGTCTGGACGACGTGAAGAAGATAAAATTCTTGATCCTACTGGGACTCGAACTTCGACCTCTCGGTCGTCCAACCCGTAGCCAGTCGCTATACCGACTGCGCTATCCCGGCTCCTCACGTCCAGCCCGTTGCCAGTCGCTATACTGACTGCGCTATCCCGGGTCCTTACGTCCAGCCCGTAGCCAGTCGCTATACTGACTGCGCTGTCCTGGCTCCTATTACTTTGTACTGTTACTTTTACATAAATTAATCGTCTACTGATTCAACTGCTGAGGTAAAACAAGATGGAAGAAGGGAATAAGGAATTGGAGAGCTCCACTGGAAACTGACTCAGTTGCTGGATTCAGATAAGATGGGAAGATGATGTTGAGTAATGAATGGATACACATCTGCAAGAAAATGGTAATTCTATAAGAGGTGCCCCTACCACTATGTGTTTCGCAACGCAGTTTCAGTCCACTCAAAATTAACAATTTCATTTCCACTTCTCATTCGACGCTACACTTCAGGGACCGTCGATAACAGAGATGATGTGCACGTGTAGAATGCATTACAACTTCGTGTAACCGAAGAGGCTGACTCCAGTGAACACCCCTTCTGACATGTATTCGGAAGGTGGTCAGTTCGAATCTCGTCCGTCACACTGGCTATTTTCATGTTTCTAGTTGTACTGCTCAGCTCTTCCAGGCGAATACCACGATAAAACCACGACTACTTCCTCTCAATCCTTTGAACTTCACCTAATGTGACCATCCCCTAATTTCAGTTGATGCTGAATAGTCAGTGCAGCAGATAAAGCGTCGTGAAATAACTTATATTCTATCTATCGAACTACATGGAGCGGAGTCCTTGAAAAGCTGATGGCCGCTTAGTCGGTCAAGAAATTTCCCGTCTTTCATGGAACCTTGAAGCTCATCACGTGTTCACACGAGCCTACAAGCCAGCTAGAGTCAGTCCACACCGTCACGTCTTGCTTGTCTAAGCTCCATTTCAGTGTTATCCTACCTCTCATGGTTACGTCTTCCTAGTGATAGCATCCCTTCAGGTTTTCCGTCAAAAATTTTGTAGGCATTTCTGATATCTTCCATGCGTGCTAAGAGGCCCGCCCATCTCATCGCTAAAGTGATAATCGTAGAAATGTTTGGTAAAAAGAACAAGTATTCAATCGCCCCATTATGAAATTCTCCCAAACCTCCAGTCACTTTCTCTCTCTCTCTCTTAGGTTCGTTTATTCTCCCCTGCACCCTATTCTCACACTCATCAGTAAGATGAATAGCTATGGCACGAAAGATCAGAGTTACTGCCCCAACAGCGTCAACGATTTCTTTGCCAGTACGTCTAGAACTGCTTGATATTCATATATTCTCCTATCCAAATGGAACCGGGGACCCTTTTTTTCGGTTATTAAAACGATCGGAGAGTGAAGAGTCATTTAACAGTGGGTGTCTGAAAACTCAGAACCAGGAATTACTTTGCTGACGAGGACCAGCAGCAATTTAGCATTCAGCTAAAACACTCAGTCCCATCGGGCGCCGAGATTGCATGAAGCTTTATATCAACTGCCCCTAAATGTCACCAGATTTGTGGTGGACAAATTGGCAATGGACTTCCGTTTATCTCATGAATTATTACTGCATCACTGCTACAGAGACGTGAGACAGATCAGACCCGCTAGTACGAGATCACAGCCTCGCTTCATTTCTTCTGACACACAACTTAGACTCACTGAACATGGGCTTTAACTTCATATATAAAAGAGGAAACCTCTATACCTGGCCTTCCTACTTTCAGGAATTCGTTATATTTAAATACAAGATGAGCGCCACTAAAGGCTGCGAATTTGAAAACGTTCTGAATTTCAAGTTCAGGATATCATTATTTCTAACAATGCATATCAAAGCTGAGAAGCATTAGAAATTATCATAAAGTACATATTCCGGTGTGTATAGCCGTTGCTAGACAACGTCCACAACACACGCGGCCAACAGTATGGGAACAGTGTTTTCTTCATCCCTCCCTAAGGCTGCTCGTCACGAATAGCTTATCAGTGTATCACCTGTACTTTCTGAGGTTTCCTGCTTACTAGAGATAAATATATTAGTAGATATGACTACATGTCGATATATTTCATACAAATATGCCCCTATCTACATCATTTCGATGTACACTCCTTCGCTGTAGCATCGTTAATACGGAAATCAATGTTGTTCAACATCATTGTCAGCAATTGCGAGTTTCGCTAAATATTTATACAGACGTTCCTGCCAAGTTACTAACAAAGGGTTCTACTATAGACATCAAACCAGTTTAACCGATGCTACATGACTGAAATGGGTTGGGTATGTAGCAAGGATGGGGTGACCAGGAATGGGTACAGAAGGAAACAAGCGAATAACATTAAAATGGATCTCAAGAGAGATGGACTGATGGACGGAACTGGCTCAGAATCTTGTCCTCTTGCCGTTGTGGTATTATGTTGAGCAGTTGGCTTCTGCTATCAGAATGTTAATTCGATTATTGTAATGATATCGAACTGATATCTCTAGGATACTCACTTCCTTCCACAGAAATGTACTCACCTATTATCGTGTGCACTCTTACGGAGAGCTGTGTGCGCAGTACAATTGAATTCTTTCGACTGAAAAGGAAACAGAGCACAGTATTAGAGCTAGTATACACGTGTACTCTCTGCTGTAGTTAGCACTGTATTATGTATGTTGTAGGAAATTGGGGACTGCATGATAGAGTCTCAGAAGGCTGCCCACCTTCGCCATTATCTGCAATAGTAGTTATAGTGATGGTGACAGTAGTAGTAGTAGTAGTAGTAGACCAAGACGTAGGTGGGTGGACAATGTTAAAATGGATTTTAGAGACATAGGATGGGTTGGATTGGATTGATCTGGCACAGGATAGCGACCGGTGGAGCTTTCTTGTGAACACGGTAATGAACCTTCGAGTTCCATAAAATGCTGGGAAGTTCTTGAGTAGCTGCAAAATTGGCGGCTTCTCAAGAAGGGTTCAGCTCCGTGTGTGAGTGAGTAATAGACGTAGTAGCAGCAGCCTAATAATGAAAACAAAATGCACAAAGAGAGACATCTGTTAGCCACGAGCGAAGTTCGCCTATTGCTAGCGCGCTCTTCATGTAGTTATTGCATTCAAGCGCCCATTAATTCAAGTGAGATGATGACGGCAACGTCAGGTACTACTGAAAGTATGATCACAACGAACTTCTCTGTGGAAACACGATGTAACTAGGCATCACCCTGTGTCCGGGCCCATCAAACACGCCAGTTATACACGTATGTGTATTGATAAGTACATTGATTCTGTCTGGAGGCACGCTATACTAATCCAAGTGACCGTGTAATGTCTCAGACTAAGAAATGTTATCCTGCTATTGACAATGAATGGAGGCTTCGGCACGATACGCTCAGAGTTCTAGCGTCAACAAATTCCTGCTCGGTATATCGGACAATTCTTTATGTTCGATGTCTGCTGTTGTGTTAAAAGTTGTCCTTATGCTAGAAGCACATCAGTTGCTAATGCTGTCTGCAGGGATATTGACATATTTGGATCCAAAACAGTTTCTCTTAATCATATTTTATAATAATACCTACATTTCTTTATTTTTTTTATTGCTAGTGGGGTGGGACTAAGTCCCTTGTACTGCGGCCACTTCTGGCCTATTGTACCAGCCCCAGATGATAGGTGAGGGTGATTGTGGAGCGATTGGTGGAATGAAGATTGGCAGAGGAAACCGAAGTACTCGGAGAAAACCTGCCCCAGCGCCACTTTTTCCACCACAAATCCCACCTGACCAGACACGGGATCTAACGCGGGCCGCAGTGATGGGAAGGCAGCGACTAACCGCTTGAGCTATGGCGCGGCCATAAGTAAGTACAGATTAGGACAGAGGAGTACAAAGCGATTGAAGACAAGTCTTCATATTTATTTGAAGTGCTAGTTTCTGTGCTGAAATCCGTTCCTAGGAGACGACTAGTGGAAACTGAGAAACCCAGTGTGTGTGCAATGGTGAACTCTAAAGTGTGTAAATCAGCGATAGCGCTGTATTAATTGTGATTAAGATTGTAACCGAAGCGCTAATTAATCCAATCATCCGAAATAGAACCCGTTATTTCCGTCACGCGTACCCGCATACATGTGACAATACAGTGCTTTTATTAGCCTCTGTTTCCGCAGGAAACAACATATCATCAACCAGGAGTAAACCACAACTACGAGAAATATCAAGTTTACGATAATGTTGGATCTACATTTTCACTTCGCGTTATATCACGTCAACAATTTACGGTCTCTTGAAAAGCATTAATGGGATACGAGTAACAGTGCGTTCCCTCTCCTTACAGCTTGCTACTCTGCACACCTAACGCTACGAAGGCTGGCATGTACTCAGGAGCATGCTGCAGAACTACCTTCGGCACCGGACTCGATCAGTGTAGGCCTAACCAATTCACAGACCAGGAAACGAAGACCCCATCTGCATTAACTTCATTAAAATAAGTTAATGACTAATGATGTTGACACTGCTTTGGGTTGTGACATCGTGTGGATGTGGGCGATGCTGCCTCCATATTCAGGGTGGATGGAGGCAGCGTGTACCTTCGAAACGCCGGCAACGTCGCCCTCATCCAAGGTAACAACACAAGAACAGAACCAACATCAGTAATTAATCACCCTGAAAACCTAAAATCGGAAATAGTCTATTGCTATTCAGTGCCACCAACACTTGTTCACAAATTCATTTGTTGAAAAGTTACACCTTCTGGAACATAGCGCCGTGTAGTCCGGTGAAAGCCAACCGACAATTCGGAGGAACATATCGCCGGTTACTTTCACCGGACTACACGGGGTTACATTCCAAAAGACAGAACTGCTAGCCACTCGCGTTTCGGCTTGTAAGCCATCATCAGCTGTACAGTGTGAGACGCAGGAAGAACCTGCTACCTCCATCTTCAAGACACCACATTTTATAGAACCGTTACGTGCGGAAAGTGTTACGATGGCTTACAAGCAGAAACGAACATACCAACAAGAAATAAATTTCAGAATAAGTAATGACAATAAATTTTAATAAAATGTACGAGTGAATTTAAAGAATACATGAAAATGTATTCGATTAAACTATATTAAACTATTAAAACTCTCTAAAATACCGACCTAAGCCACCTATATAATCGAATTAGCTGATTGAATTATATTAACTAAGCTACGGAAACTTATTATATTTATTTAGTTAACCCACTAACACAATTAACTGACTGACTTGTCTAACCTAATTATTATTATTATTATTTGTATCGTGTTAAATTCCGAACGTTCTAAATTCTGAACTGAAATATCAGCACCAAAAACCACAAAACAGGCTCTTCTTAGTGCTCGAGAGGAAAGCAGCTGGAATAGGCCCCCGTGTCTCTCACCAAATCACAATTCACAATGGTGTGACCTAAATACGAGATCACATGTTAAACCGGAGCTGCAGTGTTCCGGCTAGCAACACCAGTAAACAAACCTGGATAACAAGAACCGGAGGCCTCTGACAGTGGTGAGGAGAGTGGCGTCCATTGTGCAGGTCGCTAAGGCACTGACTGCGACAAACTCTGCTATGCCCGCCCCAGGTCCCAAATCAGCATGCAGACACACGAGTAATGTGTCATCATCCTCCGTTTCCAGGTCCCACAGACATACATATTCTTCCCCACCAGGGATGTCACATTCAGGTCCCAACTTGGGATCGAAACCTGTCCGTAGCTGTTCAGTGTTGTCTGTACTGCAGAAGCAACCATACTGAACTCAGAGAGCTGGTATCTTGACACGTCAGTATTTGCTGTGCGATAGCTACTTTGGACATGGCTCCTTTTTTAAAGTTCGTTATTTAACGACGCTCTCAGTATCAAGACTATACAGTGTCGATGATAAGATCGTTGATGAGTTTGGAGCGGTTGGTGGAATGAGAATTGGCAGGGGAAATCGATGTACTAGAAGAAATACTGCCCCAGTGCCACACTGTCCACCAGATCCCGCATGGCCTGTGCCGGATATGGCTCCTGTTGGTGTCATCTGCACATCTTGAAATTCCGTGTCTTGTCTATGTATCTACAGAACCGCCTGACTAATTTCCTGAGAGCGGAACCGGAAGTTTCAATTAAGCATTGAAAGCCAATGTAATGCAGTTCACATACATATAATTTTCCAAATATTCATGTTTCCATCTTGACATCCATAGCAATCGTCTTCTGAAAGGTACTGTCCATCGAACTTTGCAGATATTCATATCCCCGCCTGAAATACACTTTGAGCCCTTGAATTCAGATGTGTAAATTACGAAATTCCACCTTTTGAATTCTAACGCGGGTTACTTTAAAGACAGGTTATGTACCCCCCTGTTCTATATTCGGAAATTATCAGATTCGAATCTTGTGTGTAAATCCAAGTACAAAGCAAATGTTTACACATTCTCTCCTCTAATTCCTTCAGTTCAACAACAACAATAATCCAAAAATTCTTTCGACGCTATATTAAACATCAAATGGGGGGGGGGCTTTAGTTGTAACACTAATTACCACGTGGTAATGAAACCTGCCGGTCACGGTAGCCGAGCTGTCTAAGGCATGCACTGTCTTCGCTCGCTCGGAAGCCGGGATCGTGGGTTCGAATCCCACTCAGGGCATGGATGTTTGTGTGCGTTTTTCTGTGATTGTGTACAGGTAGAGACCTTGCGACGAGCTGATCACCCGCCCAAGGAGTCCTACCGTATGTGTAAGATCTAGTAAAACCGAAGTGAAACGGAGAGTTTCATGGAGGTAGGCCTAGGCCCAAATGAGGTATGTAGAAAAAAAAAAAACTGGAGTCAGTCAGGCAACTGGCTGAACGCTCAATATCACCAAGTTGCCATGCGCACAGCTGAGTCACGTGGTGTCGAACTGACAATATCGAAACTTAACGATAACGTATCTAACTGAAATATATACCTATATGACGATGAATACAATGCTAACATGTACTGACATTTAATAATACGATCGGTTGCATATTTCTGGCATTGCAATGCATGACAGATTTGTGTGGAAATCTCGTAACATCACAAATTTTTAGTTCTGTCAAAATTACTGCCTTCTGTGCTATAACAGTGTATAGTCCCGCAGACAGACTGTCAGACTATACGGCGTCATGTCCCTTGATCCTCATTTCCACTGATACCTCAAAGCCCACTTACAGTTCTGCCTCTATATCTTTGTCGGTATGATAAAGCGCCACTGACCTATTGCCTTGTTTGAACTGAACTTCTATCTCTGCAGTTGATAAGGCATTGTAAAAATCAGGCCAGCGGTGGTGTAAATCAGTCACATATTAAGTTTGTATCCCCCTTGCAGTATGAACAGTGTGCGGCCCACGTCCCGTTCAAGAGTTGCAGTCATTGGCACGGGGACAATTAGAGACGAGTGTCACGACAGGAAGAAGCTTGACGACGTGCAGGGATGCTGCGAGCAGGCGTGCCGGAATGTGCCCAGTGGTCAACAAAAGCATATGAGCCGAATTCCCAACAGCATTCTGTTCTCTAACGAATTTTAATTTCTAGTCTTCCATCAAAATACGAGAGAAAAACATCATGACAAAATT